TGTGTGTGTGTATGTGTGTGTGTGTTAAAGAAGAAGAGAGGAAGAAAGAAATGGGGACCCCCGAAAGAGTCTGTCATACTTCCATCTTCCCCACAGTCTTCCAGCCAATCAGGATCACAGGCCCACTCAGTGTGTTTAAGTTGACCCAGGAGCCAAACCCTGGACAATAATTCCCTCCCACCTATCCTACCGTGTATGGCTGGGCTTATTGTTATTACTAATGAGTACTTCAGTATGAAGAGTCCCATTAGAACAGTAATGACTGATAAATCCTGTAAGAAAATAAGCAATGTAAATTCTTTTAACACAACATTTCCTCTTCCTCATTCTTTTAAAAAATTATTCATAAATTTGCTACAGGGCATGTGTGTTTCCCAGAGAGAGATACAGAGAACAAAGAGTAAGAGAGAAAGAAAGAAAGAGAAAATGAGAAGGCATCCCATGGTGGATGGTCATGCTACAATCCCTTCTCCATTTCTCCTTTTGGGATTTTGGGCACACATGCACATGTGCCTGGTGTGTTTTTCAAGCCACAATTCCAGGATCCAAACCAGGTTGTCAACCATGTGGGATCCAGCTGCCTTAACCACCATACCACTGGCTGACCCATGTTTATTTTTTAACTGCCAGAGGGCACATGTAATGGCCAGAGAGTAATGTTTATTTTTTAATTGCCAGAGGGCACATGTAATGGCCAGAGAGTACGAGAGAGAGAGAGAGAGAGAAACAGAGATAGAGATAGAGAGAGAGAGAATGAATGTACCACTCAATGGTGTGTGGTCACGCTGCAATCCCTTCTTGCTCTATTTTTCCATTTTGTCAGGATTTGGGGCATGCATACACATACTCCTGGAGTGTTTTTCAAGCTGCTGGGGCTGAGATTCCAACTGCATAATTAGCCATGTGGGATCCACTTCCCTTAACCATTAGGTTATGGGACTATTCCCCCCCCCCTTTTATTTCATTGTTTGCTTGTGGGAAGTTTGGATCACTTGAGACTTATTCATCTTCAAGTTCCTACTGTGTTCAGGAAGGTCCTTTGGAAGGTCTCTGGGCAGTGGCTACCCCAAATCCACTCAAATGCTTCTCTTGACAGGAGTCTCTATGCTGAGAGGCAGCCCTTTCTACTGCTCATGATCAGCTCCACCTGATCCTGGATTCCCTACCTGGAAACATCTCCGGTGTTGGTTCCAAGACTGTGTTCTAGCCCCAAACCTCCCCTGCTGTCCCACAACCATGTGCTTACCCGGGGTTCCTCATTAAAGGCTGCAGACAAAGGTGCAAAAACGGTGAAAGGGCCTGGGCCAGCCAGGTCTTGAACAGAATGCTCCTGTGGGAGGGAAAGTGAGGGGAGGGAAGGTGAGGCTCAAATGCAAACAAATACCAGAGACCATGGTGCCAGAGCAGAGAGAACACTGAACGGAGAGACCAGTCTTAGTCTTGAATTTCAACTAGGATTCAAATTAAACCCAAACTCCCTGCGTCAGAGAGACCAGTCTTAGTCTTGAATTTCGACTAGGATTCAAATTAAACCCAAACTCCCTGCCATTGAAATCATGTTTATTATTTTCTAGTTATCAAGTTAACATATGCTCATCATATTGAAGATCTTGAGAATGCGAAACATAGAAGAAAATAGTAACTAACTCTATTATCCCACCACCTAGAAGCAACCTCTGTTAATTTCAGGTATTTTTTTTCTTTTCTTTTAACTGGTGTCACTTTCTTGACTGTCTCTTTAAAAAATTAGTATTTTATTTTTTATTGCATTATTAATTAATTAATTTTAGTTTTGCTGTAGGGCACATGTCCTTGCTGGACAGAGACAGAGAGAAAGAGAGAGAGGGAGAGGGAAAATGAGGGAGGGAGGGATGGCCACGCCACCGTTCCTTCTTCTCCATTCTCCCCTTGGGATTTTGGGCATGCACACATATGTGGCTGGGAGGTTTTTCAAGCTGCTGGGTCCAGGACTCAAAACTTACAGTCGGCCATGATTCAGCCACCTTAACCTTATCACCTGGGTGGCAGTATTTTGCATAATTGTAAATAATAACACAGATATGAACAAAAAGATGATTTATTTAACTGTTGTAATTATCTTGCAATCCTAAGAGCATATGGTTACTAGGGTTACCCATATTTTCTACTAATTTTTTATAATTTATTCTTCAACATGTCTGAAATGTATACAGATGTAAAGTGTACAGAAAGATCAAACTTCATATTTTCATTAAAAATGTTAATCAGTTACCCAGTAATGTTTCTTTTCTTTATTGGGGTGATGGAAATGTTTTTCATATTCTACATTCTCATGTGGAAAATTCCAGAAATCTAGTGCTCAGACCATTTTCTATCCTCAATAACTCTTGAGGGTCCAGGCTTATCCTATGTCTGACCGGAGACTGAACTCTTATAGTTGGATGAACTCACGTATTCTTACCTGCAACTGGAAGAAATACTGGGAAGTTTTGGGGTTCTTGGGAAGCTCCTGCAAATAAAGACAGGGCAGTTTTGTTTATGTCTGTGAATTATATACAAGAGTGATTCAGGATTGCTGCAGGACAATTTTTCTAAGGTCCTGAGTAACTGCTAGTCCCTCAATTGGAAATCTGCAACAATGGTTTTTTTTTTTTTTTCAAGCCTCATCTATAGACTTACAGTGCGTGCTCAGAATGACTATGTGGACACATTGAGTTCCACGACCTTCCTGGAATCACCATCTGATAGATCAAGGAAAGCTTCAACTATTTCCAGAAGCAGTGTAGCTTTAAGAATGTCTTTAAAAGCTCGGATGCTTTAAAAAAATCCATTATAGGTTTATTGCAAATTTGGTTATTCTAGTAATTAGATTAATTGATCAGCCAACATGCACTAGTTCCTCTTCAAGCCAAATAAGAGGACCTTCACTTTGTAACAGGAAGACACCTGTAGCATTATGTCGTCTCCTTCTCTATGCTCAGGACAGGTTTTGCGAGTACTTGTACACATTCCAATCGCAGTCATAGGAATGCCTTTGACTTACTGTATATTATATAGCACATATACACCTTATCTCACTTAATTCTTATTGTTTTGAGAACCCATACCAACCTGGTGGGATTGGTATTACTACTAGTATTTTCTTTTACAAATTAGAAAACAGATACACAGAGAGGTGACATAGTAAGTTCAAAGTCACAATGTCATTAACTGGCAGAACTGAACTTAAACTCGTATCTGACTCCAGACCTGCTGGTTGAACTTAATCACTACATCACATTCTTTTTCCAGGTCAAATGAATTTCTACAGAGGCAAAATTTCCTTTTATTACAAATTTATATAAAAATAACCTTTCACATTTTTACAGAGCTTTATGCTTACAAAGCTCTTGCATATTCTTTAGCTTCTTGCGTTCTTGGCATATTTAAGGAAGTAGAGTTTACTTTATGGAAATATGACTTGTGTTACCTGGTAGATATTGCCACGGCAGGTAAATCCATCCCCGATGTAGTTCGGTTTGCATGTACAAGTCCTTTCTCCTTGTTCTGTGTGATTGCAGATAGCAAATTGACTACAGCCACCATTTTTCTGGTAAAATCGCCAAGCAGTGGGAGACTAGGGTCAGATGGGTTAGTTTGCCAGCTCTGCCTATTTCAAAGCACTTCTATGTTGAAATCTCTATTGTGGCATCCTCTAGTAACTAATTTGCATATCTTCCTTTTCCCTGTACTCATGTTCTAATTCTATATGGCTGAAGAGGGCATCTTATTTACCTAGCCCTGTCTCTAAAAAGGGCAGACCCTCTAAGTAGACCTCCAGCCCTACACAGAAGCTCAGAGCTCCCAATCTGGAAGTCTCTCTGCATCTGTGCATTAACTACTAAGGCAGTAATCTTGATTGCCATTTGAAGCTGCATGCTAACTCTCATCTGATCACAGGAAAGGTAACAGTAGCCAGGTAGAAAGCAGTTGGCACGGTTGCTGGGGTCCTGGACTCCCACATGGCCAACCATGGTTTGAGTCCTGGATCTGGTGGCTTGCTTTCTCACTTTTCCTCTCTCTCTGGTCAACAATTAAAATAAATAAATGAAATTAAAATAAACAAATTCAATTAAAAATAAAGAAAGCAGTCAGTATGTATGAGGCAAACGCATTGTCTGGGCCACAATAAACTCCCAAGTTGTGGTGGAGGGTGCAGAAAATTGAAATAGGAGATGTAGATGCTGTAGATGCTGCTCTCCTTGTACCACTTAAGGGAAGCTCTGTTTCCCTCCATTACCCTCACTTCACAGACCCTGGCTGGGATGGCGTCATTCTTAACACACATTGACACTGCCACTCCATCTCTGCTCCCAATCCCTATGAAACATCTCTCTGGAAGCATATGATATTTATGAGCCCCATCCATCTTTCCTCTTTGGTCCTGATGGTGGCCTGGGTCACCACCATTCCTTATGAGCCTATTGTCATCCATGCAGCATCAACGTGCATCTTAATGGCCTCTACCACTCCCTTGGCCACCTCTGACTTTGGAATCCACAGGAAGGTGGACATCTACTAAGACTTTATTTCTGGCTCCTCCTGGGAGCTCATCTCTTCCAACTTCCTACTTCTACCTGTTTTCCTCCCAGCTGGCAGGTGGAATACCATGAACCTCTCTGGTGCATCCCTGCTTTCATTGCATGGGCTTGCAAATCCCAAGCTCCTAGACTGATTCTACTGGGTCTATCTGGATTGCCAGAGTGGTGTGCAGGCGTTGTCTGGACTCCCTTCAAGGTATGCACACAAATATCTCCATGTTTCCAGTACATACCATTTCCCTTTCTGTGGAGATGACATGTCCCACATCTCTCAGTCACTACCCCCCACTCTCAGCTGACAAGCAAGACTCACCCTCATCGAAACATTAGAAACAGGTGGACAAGAGAATCCCTCATCTTTCCTTCCTGAAGTTCTACTTGCCTGGGCCTGAACACACAGACTTCTGCTTTCTTCAGTAAACAAATGTGCTAACAACTAACCAGCTAACCAGCTCACTGAATGACTAATCAATGGACTCACCAATTGACTGACTAAGTAGATCCATTAGCTAGTTGACTGAGTGACTAATTAATGTATTCACTAAGTGACTAAGTAGACTTTCAGTTTCAGGTTCTACTGCTTGGGCTTACATAGTAGAACCATACTTCTGTCATGTGGCAACCCCTGAAATATTGATGGCAGCCTCTATGCCCCAACTTTATTCTTCTTAATGAGAAGGAGAATTAGAAGAATTTATGATATATGTATAGACATGGAGCAGGGAAGGGGTGCCACTCCCCACCCCCACTGCCCCACACTAATTTCTGTTCAGTGCAGGGAGCCTAGAACAGGATTTTCTGTTCTCCAGTAGAGATAACATACAGAAGAGTGGAGTCAGAGAGGGCAGTTGTGAGGTGGAGAGAGAATCATCTTTTAGTCTAGCTACTAGGCCTCCATAAGACACAACTATATGTATGTGTATTGCCCCAAACCCCGAGAGGTGAATGGAGGAGAAGGGACTGCAGTGTGGCCATCCCTCCCTTTCTCGCTTTCCCTTTCTCTCTCTCTCCAGTGAGTGCACTTGCCCTATAGCAAAAACGAAAAAAAAAAAAAAAAAAAGAAAAGAAAAAGAAAAAATAGAACTAGCTTTTGCTACATATTCCACATCATTGACTCAAGAGTGCTTTCCACGTGGATTCTTGTTACAAAGTACAGGGGGATAGGGAGTGGAATGTTGCTGTAGGGTTGACCTATGAAGGTTTCCTGAAAGATGTGTCTTGAGTCTTGTCTCAGAGGTAAAAGGCATGTGTGGTGGAAAGGAGTGGAAGAATTTCTTGGATAAGAATTGGCAATATAGGGCTTAAGCAAGTGAACAGACGTAGCTCAATACACAATGGCTGAGATGAGAAAAATGTGTTTGAGGTTTATAGAGAGGTCATAAAATTCATGCTACTGTGTCTGGAGGTTTCTCAGATTTCCACTTATGAAGGAAGAACACATGCCTGAGCTAAGTGATATTGTGTTTTTAAAAATTTCAATAGGATGGAGAAATGAAGGAGAAGGGATTGTGGCAAGACCACACCCCACTTGGGGGCTGCTTTCTCCCTTTGTCTGTCTGTATCTCTCTGCTGAGTGCAGGCACCCTCTGGAAAGTAAAACACACACATACACACACACACAATACTCACCCACACATGCTCGCACACACACACATACACCAGTCCCTGCCCCAGCTGGGGTGATGTATGGAAGGGATGGACAGTAAAGATGGGATGGGTCACCCCAAAGTGGGAGCCCTTAAAAGGTAAAATACATTTATTTAAGGTTATATGCCTGTCGAAACCTAAACTATAACCCACCCACTCTAGATCAGGAGCCCAGAGCTGTACTCACGGTTAAGCAGGTATCGATGAGTATGCAGACCTTCCCATCTCCAGTGTATGTTGGCAAACAGTTGCAGACGGCCTGTCCGGGGTGGGGGAAAGGGGTCATTCATGGACGCATCCAGTATGTGCCACATGCTGGCTCTCAGACTCAAATTCTTCATTGTAATGGTCATGTTAGAGGAGTCAATATTTAGGTAATATTTAGTCCATAATAATTGTCATCTTATACATGGGATCTTCAAAAAAGGTCATGAAATTGTGTATTATAAAATTGCTATTATAGGGACCAGCAGTTAGCGTAATGGCTATGTCGCTGGACTCTCACGTAGTCGACCGCGGTTCGATTCCCAGACCCGGTGGCTTAAACTCACGCCGGGCACATGTGCGTGCATGCCCAAGATCCTGAGAGGAGAATGGAGGAGAAGGGATTGTGGCGTGGTCATCCCCCCCTGGGGGGTGATTTCTCGCTTTCTGTCTCTCTGCCTCTGTCTGTCTGGTGAGCGCATGTGCCCTAAAGCAAAAAAACCCCAAAAAAACAAAAAAACAACAACAAAAATCCTCTCCAAAAAAAAAAAAAAAGAAAATTGCTATTATAAAAATATGTATTTTCTGGGACCAGCAGATGGCATAATGGTTACGTTGTTGGACTCTCATGTAGTTGACTGCAGTTCGAATCCTGGATCTGGTGGTATAAACCTCACACTGGGTGCTTGTATGTGCATGCCTAAGATCCTGAGGAGAATGGAGGAGAAAGGACTGCAGTGTGACCATCCCCCTGTGGGGGTGATTTCTTGCTTTCGGTCTCTCTGTCTCTCTAGTGAGTGCATGCACCCGATAGCAAAAATCTCTCTAAAAAAAGAAAATGTGTATGTTTTATAGATTTCATTTTTTTTTGCAACACAATAAGCTCATATCTCAATTTCATTTTCCATGACCTTTCTGAAGTTCTCATGTTTTAGCACTTCTGGCTCACTTGGCTTGCATGCCAGAATCTCAGGCACACCTAATTTGTTGCTAACTTCTTTTTTTTTTTTTTAATGTTTTTACCTTATTACGTTTCTTGTCTTTAGGAATTCACCTCTTTTCTCTCCGATGGCTGCAGGCTCAGGTGGGAGGTAACCCACTGAACCGTATCCCACTCTCACACACTTCTTGCTCACCTCCACCCCGGCTGAGCCCTGCCCTAGGAGATGCTAAGAGGTCCCTGCAGCTTATGATGTGCATGCGTGAGAACTATCAGTCAAACCCAGTGTTGGGCCAAGGAAGTCAGGTGAAGGCTTCAGGCTGAGAGAGGGACTATCTGCAGGATGTCAGGAGTGGGGTCCCAAGTCACATATGCTCTGCTCTAGAGTGCCCAGCCATGGGACTGACCCGGCTATCCTTTTTTGTTGGCTGTGTGCCCAGAGGAAGCCTGAGAAAGGCAGAACTTGGGTCTCTGAGCCCTCACTTCCTTGCCTGTGTCGTATCAGCCTATGGCCACCACCCTCTGATGTGGAGCCCCCACATCCCTTGCCCTTCTCTCTAGAGGGGTGCTGTGAAGCTCACTGTGTGTGGGTGTGGGAACGTGTGACTGAGAGAGAGGTACGATGTTATCTTCCGCTGTGACACATACATTTCAGAGCCTCAAGCCAAAGAAAAAGAGTGGGATCTCGAGCATTAGAAATCTGAAAGAAAGGGACCTATTTTGGGGGGATGGTCTTGGTACTTCTGGATTACATGATGTTTGCTGATGTCCCCTCCTCCCACTCTTGGTAAGCCCCTTCCAGTACCCTTTGCCCCCTTCCTTCTCAATTCCCAAAGAATGGCCTTTTGTTCTTTCATCATTTTCTCGAAAGCATTTACTTTCTGCTGCAGCTCCTCCGAGGTTCTCAGCCTGTTTTTCCTGAGGTTCTCAGCCTGTGTCTAAAGACCTGGGCATTTTCTCCAAGGAAACTCAAGGGCCCTTGAGAGGCAGAGCTCACCTGGTTGGGTCCCGTCTGCGTGCACTCTGCATTCTTGCTACAGCCACCGTGGTTTTCCAAACATGGGTTGATTTCTTTAAATCAAAAAGCCAACACCTGACATGAGAGCCTCATTTCCAAGGAAAGGCATCTGGATGGACTAGCTGGGATGGCTAACTGACCAAGAGGAGCAGGCATCAAGGTGTGACCCAATTTTCTGACATCTCAGAGGCAGAAATGACATAATAGTGGTGGTATCAGAAATGTTTTCTCAAAATCAGCTCATCTAGAATGGGTTAATTGCAACAGAGGCCCAATCTGTGGGGTTCAATCTGTCTTTCTGTGGAAGCCCTTTGCAGCAAAAGGCTTAAAATAATAGAGCCGCAGAGTCCAGTTCATCAGTGCCATGAATGAAGAGATACAGGAGTTAAAAAAAATAATTTGGGGAACCAGCAGTTAGTGTAATGGTTATGTCACTGGACTCCCATGTAGTCGACCATGGTTCATGTCCTGGACCCAGTGGCTTAAAACTCACACCTGGTGCGTGTGCGTGCGTGCCCAAGATCCCGAGAGGAGAATGGAGAAGGGATTGCGGCGTGACCATCCCCCCTGGGGGGTGATTTCTCGCTTTCTGTCTCTCTGTCTCTCTCTGTCTGTCTGGTGAGCATACGCGCCCTATAGCGAAAACCTCTACAAAAAAAAAAAATTTGCAACCTTCACAATATAGATTGATTGAAGGAAAAGTCATTAATAGATGCTCAATTTAGGAGGATATTTTAATGAGGAGCAAGAGATTTGCTTAGTGTTAAGGGTCTCCCCACTGACAGATAAGTAACAAAGAGGGAAAAAGCAACTGCACAATGGAGAAATTGGACAGTGTATTGACTGAGTGGTCAAGTTTTGCATTGCAAACAAGGGGCAAATGGGTCTCGTGCCTCAGGTGTGATATCTGAGGAGGATGTGACATCACTCGTGTGATAGTTGGGTTTGAAATGCATAAGCTGTATCTGACTATAAAAAAATCAGAAAAATTTAAAATGAATATGCTATTAAAAAACTGTTGAGGTAGTAGACTATATTCATTGAAAAATGTCAGTATTGGGGTCAGCAGGTGGCACGGTCATTAAAGGTGCTAGACTTCCACATGAAGACCACAGTTTGAGTCTGGAACTTTGTGGCTTGAAAATCACACCAGGCATATGTATGTGCATGTCCCCAAATCTAAGGAGAATGGAAGAGAAGGGATTGTAGTGAGGCCATCCTTCCCAGGGGGTGATTTCTCACTTTCCCTCTCACTGTCTCTCTTTGTCTCCTTTCTGGTGAGCGCATGCTTCTTTTAAAAAAAAACCTTTAAGAAAAAAGTCAATGTTGGGACTAGCAGTTGGCGTAATGGCTATGGTGTTGGACTCCCATGTAGTTCACTGTGGTTTGAGTCCTGGGCCCGGTGGCTTAAACTCATGCTGGGTGCTGGTGCGTGTGTGCCCAAGATCCTGAGAGGAGAATGGAAGAGAAGGGATTGTGGCATGGTCATCCTTCTTGGGGGTGATTTCTTGCTTTCTGTTTCTCTGTTTCTCTGTCTTTCTGGTGAGCGCACATGTCCTATAGCAAAAACCTCTCAAAAAAAAAAAAGAAAAAGAAAAAGAAAAAGAAAGTCAATGTCACAAGAGACAAAGCAAAACTGAGAGAACTGGAATTGTCCCAGGTTAAAGTGGGATTAAAGAGACATGATGACTAAACGCAATGCCTGACCCTAAATTAGAATACGAAAGGTAATTCGATGAAAGTATTGTATCAATCTACATTTAACCACTGTGCTATGTTTATACAAGAGGCTATTCTTATTCGTAGTAAATATATTCTCAAGTATTCAGGGGTGAAGGAAATATAAGTTTTCAAAACAATATATGCATATGTATAAGGAAAGCAAATGATAAAGCAAGTGGGGTGAAATGTTAATACGTGAATGCAGGTAAAGAATAAGAGTAACTTTTCTGTACTATGCTTGTAACTTTTCTGTGTGCAATTTTTTTCCAGCTGAAAAGTTAAAATTTAGACGATGTTCAGGATATAGTCTTAGAGTAAAACAGTGCATAGTCATGGAAATACTGATTAAGAGGTAAACTTTTCTGTCATCTTGCTAGGTATAGTAAATGCTATGCAACATTTTTGCTTAAAAAAAAAAATACATGTTTCCATAGCAAGATGGGGTAATACGACAATGACAAGAATTCTTTTACCAGCATATATGTCTGCCTTTTCTGCAGCAAGAATGTGCTACTTGAATAAAAATGAACTGATACAAGTTTAAAAAATTCAGTCATGCCGTCATGTTAGTTAGAAAAAGTTGATCCCCTTTTGTCCTTCCAAAGCAATTTTGGGACAGCACATACCATTATATCCCCATGGTCACATTTCCACACCCTCAAATCTCCCTGCCCAGGCAAACAGTGACCTCAGCAGCTGTATGTACTAACAACAGGAGCCCCACACTTGAATCACTTACTAGAGCTCTGACACTTATGCTGTTTCCCCTGGATGGATGCGGGATGGCCACTTACCCAGGCAAATGATGCCGTCGCCTGTGTATCCAGCCTTGCACACACAAACTCGGCTTCCTGGGGTGGTTCTCTTACAGTCAGCCTGGGCAGAGCACCCGCCATTGCTGATCTCACAGGCGTTGATTGCTACAGAAGGGAGAGATGACATAAAGCAGAAGGTGGGGAGAGGGGGAAAACATTGTGGGGCCTTGGAGCGGGGTATAGTGGTACAGCAACTGGACCCACATGGAAAAAGGTCCTTGGTTTGTATTTGGAGATCTCCATGAGTAAACAGGTGTGTGTGGCGTGATCTGGATTGACTGAGATTTGGGAACAATCACAGTGTAAGATTCTGCTGGGGATGTCACCCTCCTTCATGGATATAAATAAATACACTTAAAAAAATTGATATAGTTTTATTTGGGTCTTTGAGGAAATGAGAAATCACATTACTCTGGCAAGTATTGGATTAAATTTAACTAATTCTCAAAAACAAAGATCAAGAAAGATGTTCTAATTATTTGCTCTTTCCAGCTTTTTTCTGTATGCACCCTCCTGTGGGAAACACCTGGGGACCAGAGTTTAGGCACCTAGCATTCGGGGAGCAACA